CACTCTTATCATCAGACTACAGAACACACATCTGATCATTGATTCAAAATGTAGTAGATCTATTGATTGCGGGAATATACATCTGAACCAATAGTCAATAGTTGGAATACATCGAACTATTGACTTCTGGTTTTTTTGACCAATAGTCAATAGTTGGAATACATCGAACTATTGACTTCTGGTTTTTTTGGCCTCGGAACAAGTACGTCTCCTCCTAATATGTAAACTCGTTCCTTCCAACATAATAACAACTGATACTTTGTGTACGGAATGGTCACCTTCTGACGTACTCTCAGAGAGTGAGATCAACGTCAAAAGGTCGTTCTCTTTTGAGATGTGTTAAGCCACTGACATCTTGGTTATCCGAGGAGAGGGCCTCTGCAGGGAAGAATTCGAATGTGCGGACTTCCAGAGAATAGTCAAGAGGTGTTCCTCCAGGGAAGAAATTGAATCGTGTGCTTTCTCCATCCACGCATTGAAGAGCTCGATCAGATTCCGAAAACTGTGAACGACCCTGACATTCTTCTTGTATTTGGAGATGATTGTACCCTTCATGTTGCAGGAAGCTCAGGATTACCGGATCACCCCCTTCAGTTTGCATCCTATAGATGTTCATGAGTACCGAACCACCCCATATATTTTGCATCCTACAGACGTTCAGGAGTACCGCATCACTGTGGACTGTACAGGAGCGTCCATCCTGGAAACAAAACAAAATATTAATCAATATGTTTCAAACTTGGGAATGTCATGCATAGACTCACATGCATTCTTCAGAGGTATATTATATATCTACTGAAAGTTCTACTTTTTCCGGTGGAAATTATTGTGATGCACAAAATATGTCAGGACCAACATAAGGAAGTAAGAATCATTACCTGATGATGCTGACTTTGATCGAAGTCATTTGGTCTCGAGCTATGTAAATGGTTCTCCTGGAGCATTCCACTGCTTCTGCTAAAAGACCCCATCTCATCTCGATGTGCATCCTCACATGGATCAGGATTTGAAGGATGTGCATCCTTATGTGGAGCAGGATTTGAAGGATTCGGAGGATCTATTTCTTCTGGTATGTTTGAAGGACCAGCTGCTGCATCATTCATCTGAAGCAGTCCCTTGCTACCATTCGATGATAGGATCGTACCTCGATGTGTACCCTCTAGTTCATCGGGGTCTGAGAGGCTCGAACCATCCGTTTGTTGCGGTAAAACTGGAACGTTTACAGAGGCATCGTGCATTTCTGTATCATCATTCTTGTCGTCTCGAGCACAAGCTTCCATAGATCCAGAAGCATCACGTTTAGAGGCATCTGTTGCTCTCTCCCAGCAACTCGCTCTTGGATGTGATGCACTCGTCACTTCCTCCTTTGAAGACTGGGAATTGTTGGACGCTGGATGGGCTAAAGTTAAAGTCCTTTCTGTATTCTCAATCGTCGTACCGGAATCATCTCTCGTCGGACTTGCTACTCTAGCATAGCCTGTAGGGTGAAAATCGCTAGTCAAAAAATAAATCTGATCATGATTGTATCAAGTATACGGACTGCAGTCACAGAATAGGAACTATGGGAATATATAATCAACCTTCATATCATGATAAAGTACTTGATTCACTTACCGGTTTTTTTCTTGAAAAAACTTCGAACAATGGCTCTTTCATCACCGTGTTGCAAAGCTGTTTCATTGTATGCTCTGCAGCCGAATTACAGGATGGAAAATCGGTCAATAAATATTCATACCCTCAGTAAATGTGCACCAGCCCTCTCTTGACTGTCCACATAAAATGAAATTATTTGCGATCACGGAATCACGATTCTTACCTTACGGCTTCTTCTTCGGTATCGAACCAGCCGACGAGAGTATATCTGAACATATGCAATTGATTTAGTGGAGAGCATCAGTAATGCACATGCTGCTGAGCATGAATTTCAAAGGTAGCTGAAATCGATTCAAAGTATATCATCGGAACTCTGGAAGTCGATGGACAAATCACACGGTTGACTTACTGGGATTTATGCTGATGATTTTTCGAGCAGTACTTCACTTCCCACTTTCCATTGGCATCAATCAGAATCCCCTTCGACGACTTGCACATGAGGATACAATCCGCCTTCCTACTCGTGTCACGCAAGAACTGTCTGTAATCCAGAAAGCTCATCCCTCTCATCTGTCACACACGAAAAATCAAACAGATATCGTCTTCATGAGCTCAAAATTGAGATAAGTCAACGGAAACACAAAATTGAAATTGAATTCCTACCGTTATTGTTTTGTACCTGCTCAATATATTATGATCGTGTAGTAAAATATACCGAGAGTCTTTGGATCAGTACAGTCTTGTCTTGTCTGAAGACCAACGTCATCTACTAAGAAATACGACTTTGTGCATACATGACTTCTAATCAAGTAGATGCAATTTCTACTCTCCAGTGTAAGAGTTTTCAGAGGACAAACATTCAACTTCCTTTTCATCATCGACCTTACTTGATGCGACGTGAAAATCATAAAGGGTCTGAACTCGAGGGCTACATAACAGGTGGATTCTAGAAAGTGTAAGCGTAAGTAAACACTGGAGCAAGAGTTCTATTGCATCCAATCTCTTTGGATGCATGGAAACACCAGGAATGGTATAGGACCAGTGTAATTCATCGCGAAATTCATGATGCCAATGATGTGGGGAACAAAGCAAACCTTCTGGATGTCTTCCTTGTATTCACTCCGATCGAAGTTTAGTTGCTCCGTGGAAGACCGAGTGAACAAAATACCTTTGTCGTAGGCTCTACAAAACACGAAAATTTTCAATTAGATATTATAAGAAACTTGCACGATCGACTTCGATGTTATCCAGAGATGGCGGAAGTTGAAGAGATGTACATACCTAGCAGCTTCGAGAGCAGAAAACGAGGCACCTGTTACCAAGAAGGAATAAAAGTATCAATATAGAGAATATAAAGAGAGAGAGAGAATTCACCCATTTAGGAAAGACGTCAATTGACCATGAGGAGGGGCCTTACATAAACAACGTTTACATTAGTGCTAGTATGTAATGGTTTTATGCGACTCCCACAACATACATTCTTTTGTTTGCTAAACTCAAATGCAGATGAGATGCGCAAATTTTCACTTACCTAGATAGTGCTGCTGATTCTCAAACCTGCAACAAAAGAAGAAGATGAGAATCAAAAACTGCTGCAATTGCAGAAAAGCAGGGAGAAAGAAATTCCAAATTCAGCTCGTGAAACTATGTCTTTTTTTTTCCTCTAAGAAGCAGATTCATGATATTAAGTAAGGAATGGGAATGAAGTTGCTTACCAAAGGTTAGCTTCCCATTTACCCGTGCGCTTGTAAAAAGTGACGCCCTTGTACGGTCCCTGAACCCTTGTACATTTTCGTCCTCCCGCTCTTCTCCCCATGGAGAATTTGGTGCGGCTCGCTCGGAGGGCGGCGGAGATTGGCCTCCTTTGATAGAGCTGCAACAACTTTGCAAGCTCCTAGTCCCAAGCGGATATTGTCTCAATCAAGCTCCGCAATGTGTCAACGCTAGAGAAAAATTAACTTCCTCCAAACTTACACTTGCACTCAAAGCACGAGAATGCTATCACACGTAAGTGAGATGTGCATTCAACCTGCTGCTTCGAAACTCCGACGACAGGAATTGGAACACAAACTAATGCTGTTCACGAAATGGCAACTTCGCAACTCGCTCCTCCTCACTCGCTAGAAATAAAGGTTCAACAATCCTGCTCGCATCTCACGCTAGTCCTCAACACGAACAAGTAATGGGAACGGAAGAGATTGGGATCGAATGGGATAGAATGAAGGTATGCACGAATTTCGCCACTGATGAGTGACGGGATCCAAGACCGTCGACAGAGGACGGCTCGAGATTCTCTTCTATCATGTGGACATGGCCATAAATCACGTCATCGGATTGTCGTATCACCCACATTGTAACTTGAGATGCTAGACCGCTCTAGGATGTATATGGAAAATACAGTGGCAGACATTTCTCGTCCGCGGCCGGCTTCGTACTGTTGCGGTGTGCATGCATGAGAAATTATGATTGAGCATCGAAGGACGTCGATAGGAACCGATCGGAACCGATCTGAGGGAAGGGATGAAGAATTGTACGTACGAATCTGATAGCCATCCCGAATGGTCTTTGCCATTATCACCAGGCCTAAATTTAGGACAATTCGAATCAAAGTGCTTGAAAATTAATTAGCAAATTCTCGGAGTCGCTACGTACGGCTGCTCGCCGGGCTCGCCGGGTGCGGTTCTGGTACTGACAGTTGACCTGACTGCCTTCTGACTGGTCGATGACCCGGCTAGCGCTTCTTTTCCTTCAGAGAAAGACATGAAAGCATGAGCAGACGATCTTCACAATATGTACTTATCTGTATTCACTCATTATTTCCTCTCATCCTGTACTTGAAAAACTGAAATTCGATTAATTTCATATTTTCCTCTATCCAAGGACGGTTTTGTATTTTCCTTCATTCTCGGTAGTTGATTTTTGAGTTCATTTCCTGTTATTTCACTTGGCAGAAGACATCTGATCAGTATCAGTCTCTTTGTGTCTACGCTTTTTTCTCCACTGGTATGCATACCACAATATTTAATTTCTTTGGTCACATGCTAGGTTTATACGTTTCAAGTCAGACTCCAGCATTTTCCAAATTGACCATGGATTTATTGTATGATGAGATGTTTTACGAGTTGGAAATAATCGTTCACCTTTTGACCTTCAAACAAGATTGCAAATTTACAATTTACCTCTGATATCAATTATCCATTCTTTCTCGTTCAGCTATTTTCCCAAAAGTGCTCATTGAATAGGATTACGATCATTCAGCAACTGCTAGAAGATCAATGACTCACTCTTATTAGCAGATGCTGCTTTTCGGATGGAAGTGTAAGTCATATCATGCATAACGAACTCTATCACGTTAGCGACTTTCATCTCAGAATGTCGGCTGAGCAAAATACATTATTACAGGCTTGCAAAACTTAGTTGAAATTGTTGGCCTTATTAGAGCCAAGACAAGGCCGCGATAAACTCGAACATCAAAAGTCCAGCATTACTGTTCAGAAACATTCATTCAAATTGGGTGGTGAAATCTTTGCATTGAAGTAATGAACATGACCACCAGTAGCTGAGGAGAGGTCCACTTCAAGCTGAACAACTGAAAAAATCACTTTGGTGGTGTCCAAAATTGTATTCAGATTGAAGCATACACTTCACGAAGCTGGAAATTGTACGCCTTAAGATCAACTGCAAATGCCCAAGAGCCTCGCCTCCACCATGTCAATCATCGTCTCACCACATCAACTCTGAACGCGCGAACGTTGCCACGTGATGCTGTGACGTGACAAATTAAGCCACGTAGATACGAGTCTCACAATAGATCGACAAGTGGTAGCCTTTTGGCGGGCCCAAAACGAGATGTGAGACGTGGTTGAATCGACAATTGTCACGTGGTGCAGACGTCACGCGGAGCACAACACGCAAGCGTGGAAGACACGCGTGGCTTGACACGTGGATTCACGCGTGGCGAGTAGGAAAATTTGGGCAAGTTGGACACACAACGAAGAGATCTGCAAAGCATGCACGTGAAGACACTTTTGACTACGAGAGGGGTCGCAGAGTAGAGTCAGTCCCACGACTGGACGCAGGCCTTAGGCGCGTTGACTGAACCAGGTGCACATTTTGGAAGTGCTTGGTAGAAACGTCATCTGTCAGATCACCCCCAGCTCGTGATTTCGTCTCTGATAACAGTTGACTCTATCTAAATGCAACACCTAGCGAGTAGCTCGTGGATTGCGATGTGCGATGGTGCCAAACCGATGTGCCAGGTTCGCTGCTCCAAGAGCGGGCAGATGTGGTGGCCTTGGTACGTCACATCGTAGTAGCTCGGATCTTCGTCCGAGCGTTGCACCCGTTTTCTGGAAGGGCACGTGAGAGTCGTGCATCGGTAGTAGCTTCTGCATCGACACCAAATTTAAACAAATGAGCAAACATTGTCGTCCGGCCCATAAATCAACACTCAATCCATTCCTCAACTGCTTACATTTCTTCTGTTCTGTTTCTCATAGCAAGCCCCGAGGCCAAGATGATGATTCGCTACTCGAACCAAATCCAAGCCTAATTAATACACACACGCACACACACAATCAACGTCCATTCGACATCGAGTGCTTCAGAATCACCGCAATGACTTCTCTGCAGAGCAATGTTGGGGTCGGGCTAAAGTGTGAACGAACCTCGGATAGCTGGACTTCTTAACGTCCTTCTGCCCATATTTGCGCCATGTGTAGCCGTCGTCCGGGGGGCCATAGTTCGCGGGGTCACCCGTACCAATCGCCCGTTGTTTCGTCTGATACAAAATACCTTTGGGAAAATATTTTCTGCGCACAAGGAAAAAAAACCAGAGCCCGTCAGCCGACATTCTGAGCCGAATGTACTCGAATTAAAAATCGTAGAAACCCGAAGAAATTGTTCGACTCGGCATTCTGCGAATGCAGACATGCAGTGCGGCCTCGTCAAAGTGCAGAAAGCATGAGGAGATCGACAGCATTACTGACCGCTTCTTGGGCAGAGCTGGTTTGTCGCTGAGGTCGGGATCGGTGGCGCTGGTGGAAACGTCGTGAGACTGGCGGCGCGAGAGATTGCCGACGGTGTCCTCGTCGGAATCGGGAGCGACTTGGTTGGGCCTCACGGGAGAGCCGCCCTCGGAGAGGCCACTGCTGCTCAGAGGAGTGTCGCATGGGCTCGTGGTCGGACTGGTGAATTGCATACGGCCTGGCGTGTGGCAATCGTCGCCTGACAGCAGCAAACTCAGATTTCCGGCTTTCGCTACAAGCTGGTCTTGAGCTTTCGAGCCGCCCGTGGCCATGGAATTGGTACTGCGAGTCGCGCTGGGCGGAGTCGAAAGCAAGCGGATGACCTTGCTGAATTTCTCTACGATGGCTGCAGATCTAAACCAGAGTGTGCGCGCGCACGGAACGAACAATCATGAGAGAGAGAGCAGCAGAGTGCGCCCCCGAAGTGGACGACTGCGTGCAAGTTTGGGTGTCCAGTTCGAAAAAGGACCGGGTCTCGCTCTCCGAAGGAAGCAGGCGCTCTGTCCCCTCTGAGCTCTCGGGTCGAGTTGGCAGGATGAATGTAGCCGGTAGAGCAGGGCCTTTTGAAGATCACAGACAAGGCCACCAGACCCGGAAATCCAAGTGCTTCCCGGAGAGGAAAGAAAGACCAGACGGAGCCGAGCAGAAAGCGAGAAACTTTCCATTTTTGCATGTTTGACTCAGCCCCCGCGCTCTCCCCCCCTGGTCACTAAGGGCTCCCCACTTTCGGGGGAACGCGATGTCTGCCCCGAAACGCGTTCCCCCGAAAGTGGGAGCCCTTAGTGACGAGCTTCCCCCCTCCCCCCCTCCCTCACCTGAGCCATCTGACAATCGGCACATAAGAATCCCGGCGTTCCGGAGCTGTCGACCCGTGGGTTCGGCCGAGGACGAGGGCCTCCGTGGGCCCCACCTCGCGCGGGGAAGGGGAGGTCCATCGCCCTGCCCTCATCCGACGACAAGTCGATCACAGCTCGATGGTGTTGTCTTGCCGGCATGCCCCCTCCCCCCACTCCTCCGTGGCGGACTATCCCCCCGCCTGCTCGCTCCTTGTCCCATCCTGTCCTGTCCTACGCCCGGCGCGCGATTCCTTTCTTCGATCCGAGATCCTGCCCTCCGCCCGGACCAAGATTCGCGGTTCCGCCCGCGAGGAGCCAGATTCGCACTCAATCCGTGGTGAACCACGTTATAATGGTCTCTTGACTCATTGTGTTTCGTGTTAAACTATTTGAGATTTGAGGTTAAATGTTAAGTGAATAGTAAAAGTTGTGTTGTTGGAGTGATTGTGTACTTTTTTTCATCCATTGGTAACTCTCAAGATTTCCACATTGATTCTAAGGTTAGCTAGAGCAAATCATATACCAATTTATAATATAGGTCAACATATTATATTGTAACTATAAATTCACAAATATAAATAAAATCCACAAATATAAAATATCACAAAAACGACGTTGACAAAATATATCTGATAGTATCGACGTCAATTTTTTAATGATGTTTTTTTTGAAAAATTACATCAAAGTGCATTTTCATCTTCATTTTAGAACATTGATCAACAAACTAATCCATGAAAGCAACAAATACATAATGAATATCAATGTGAATAATATGATATTAAATCATAAATAAAAAGACTAGATTGATATAAAGATAATGACATGGATAAAAATTCTGCATGTGGAGATGAGTTTGAGATTAATGCTTCAATTTTTTTACCTTGCCAAACCAAGATTTAAATCCAAGGAATGGGAAAATTTGTTGAATAATTGAATGAAGGTACTGCAAAATATTTTTATTTTACAATAAAATTTAGAAAAAAAAACAATTTTTTCACTTTCTTTTTTGTTACGTGTCTTGCAAAACAATAATTTGTATAATATTAAAACTCATTTGTTGCCTTTAAGAGGTTCTAACTTCATACATGTTATTTGATCAACAAGTTTGTTTTAGTTGTTTTTGCTATCAATCTGCAGCAAATTGTTATACTTTGCATTATTCTTGAGATTTTTATTATCATTTGATTCTAAAATCGATCAGAGTTTATCATGTTCTCATTTTATTATCAATTATCAATCAATTGATAATTTGCATCAATGCGTGTTTTTTATATCTGATTACTATAGAGGAAATATCATGTCTAGAATGCTAAAAAAATTCTTGACATTATTTGTCACACTTGGATAAGTCATCTTTCTTGCTTGACTTATGATAGACCAGCAATTTAACCAGACAAATCGAAAATCTGACAAGATTGATTGCTGATCTTGTTACTCGCCTTGACACTGCAGTGTATAATGTCTTCATGGTTATTGTATCGTTTTTTGATTTGGATTTGGTGTAAGACACATCAATTGAATTCCATAAAAAACGATGTTATCAAGAAGATTTTTTTTTAAATCATGTTTGAATTTTTAACTCATTTTATAGTGTAAAAGAATTTAATTGCTAAAATGTACACTATGTGATGTCATGTTGTCAATTATTGGCTCTTGAAAGTTTAAATCATTATTTATTTTAGATTCATTAGCCACATTTGCTCGTTTATATCATATTTAAGAAGTCAGCTTTTGCTACACCTCACCTTTGATAGATAGAAAGTGGAGCAATACAACTCTTCATTCTATGCATTATTTTATCATTAGAACCTTTGTTACTTTCCATTATATCCAAAAATTAACCTAACTTGCCATTCAGCAAAAAAATACTAAAGATTATCTCATCACATACTTGGCTTGGAATGAGTGGTCTGTTCATTTTTGAATCGATTGTAAATATCTATTTATCAATTTGATTCATCAATGATCATTATGCAATTGACTTTTTTATCATGCGTTTGGTTTAAGACTTTGGTGGACTTTGTATTAAGAGTCATGAAGGAAAAGATTTTCTTGTTAATAGAGAAGATCTAGCATTGATATATGCTAACCAATTATTTTCTGATTAATAAAGACTAAACTAAACACTTGTGACATGACTAGATATGTGATAATACAAGCGGTGATCAGCACAACCCGGATATGAATTACTATCCCATTTGTACCTTGATAAGAAAGCAAGCGCGATGGGACCAATTTATGTATGGCTGGATATGTGATAATCCAACAGGTGATAAGCACAACCCGGATATGAATAAGTATCGCATTTGTACCTTGATCATGACGTGAACAGAAAGCAATCTTGTTGCTCACTGTTGTGACCAAATCGAACTTTTGTTTTCTGCTTTTATCTGAACATTTTGTGTCATATTCAGAACATGGAAGGTTAAAGAGTCTTACCATCCATCGAGACATAGATTCTTCAATTACTACAACTAGAGAATGAAAGCCGAGAGATTTTGTATAGACTATGCCTTATGAGGATATATGGCGGCCAGACCAGGAAAGATCGTAAAGCAGCCTTTCTGTCCTGTGAAAATTGGGTCAAGGGAGTACAACATATCAACCTTGCGCGTTCCAAGGCTCTGACCTGAAGCGCATTCAGACGACAATTTGTTCTGTTTCATTACACACAATTTGTTCATTTCGCTGTGTTCGACCACGGCAGCCATCTTCACACACACTCAATTAATATCAAAGCTTATACTGCAGAAAAGCTTTTGGAAAAGCTATTCTTTCAGATCTGAGGTCGGACAGATCATTGGTTCAGAGTAGTGAGGACATGTAGGGATTTCAATCCCCATAACCTACATAAAATCATAGTCCACACACCATAGATACACAAGCATTTGTTGCCGAGGTTCAGCTTGAAAGCCTACTCCTCACGAACTCCTCAATGAAGGCAATTCGAGTATATATATCCAAGATCAGTTTCTTCAGACTTGACCTTCCTATCTGCCATTACAAGGTTTCAATCTACTAAGAACTACACAAGAGAAATCACTACTGTCTCCCGAGCAAGACTAACACTTCCTCACATGTTATTCCTCACATGTTCACTCTCGACTATTCTTGAAAATCTTGTCTCTGTAATGCCCCCCCCCTAGTTCGTTGACTGTACTTATATCATCCCGACTTCTAACGGTACCTTATACGGTAAATATAAGAATACCCGTAAACTTCTACACAGCCCATAGGATATAAACCCATATGCGAGCTAATACTAAACGACAAATAATCTTAAAAGAAAAAGACAAACAACTGAAGCTGATAGCTCACAGGACCAAACTAGAACAGCAAGAAGAAATGTTTGAACCTCTGAATCCCGGAAAGATACAGATTTGGACTGGATCGATCACAATGGAGACTTTCCTCGTCCTTCAATATTGTATTACTTGGACGAACACCAAATCTCTGGGCCTGCATTGACGGAGACCACGGAGTGAACATTAAGTATACACTATGGCGATGTGCATCTCTCTTTTTGCTTGTCAGACAGCCCTCTGTCCTTTAAATATCCAGACAAAGTCAATAAAAGAATCTAACGAAGTCATCAGGTTTGAAGCTTCGCAAGGCCGACAATGCTTTCCATCATATTCACTTGAAGAAAGTGGTATATGATTTGCTTTCTGTCCAAATTGAGCTGCATAGTGTAGAAGAACGCCCTCGACTGAACTAAATTCCGTGGATCTATGAACATTTACTTCAGAAACATACTCCAGAAGTATGCAGCTGAAGAGCTGCTTCGAAATGGACTGTTCTCATACGACGGAATTTATGGACAACATATCAAGGCGGGATGGATCGATGGCGGGATCATCCATACTGAGGTCCTAAGAGTGTTAGTGCAGAGTATATCAGTCCTCACAGTAAGTTTTCAAGAAATACATCTTTCAATCTTCGAGCACAGACACCACACTTTCTTACATCAGCTGTTATGACTCAATGATAGAGGGCTTCCATTTCCTCGTGACATGAGGCCGGACGAACGGATTTACGCAAGTAAACTCTGTTTGTCGTTTCCAAGCCACCGCCGAGAATCGAAACATTATAATGGACTCTTGGAAATGGTTCTCGAGGCAATGTGCAATAAATCTAAGTGCATCTAGTTCCAGCCCCAAGAAAATCGAAGTCTGGATGATTAAATTCCCTGACACCATAAGTGACTCTTTTTGACTTCCGGTGGCTCAGGAAACAACACTAAACTTCTGCATATCTTACTGTCAGATATGCCCAGGCATCCCTGGCGTGAATGTTTGATTTATGAAGTTAATTAAATGAATTTATTATGTCTGCACAATGTTGGACTAGAAAACCAGTGCTCTGCGTGGATGCCGAGGTTGATCAGCTATTTGATTCTCATGCGCATATAAAAACTAGAGTTGCAGTGACAGCAAAAGAAAATTTCTTCGGATACAAAATGAAAGAAGTAGAGAGTTTTATATCTATTAAGACAAACCTCCTTGTCCTTTTACGTTATATATGTAGATAGGATGGAAATTTCCAAAAAAAATTTCATGTCTACCGAAACTAAAGCAAACATCTATCATTTGTGGAAAGAAAGTGAAAAGTTTCTCAATAGTAACTTTGTAACTTCCAATAGCGAGTTAAACATAGTTCAGATTATTCTACTCAGCGATATAAAGTCAATTGAATTATTTAAAAAATAATATGTCACAATTCATAAAATATTTTAATTACCTCATTGAAAGCTATCGATTCTTGAGAATATATATATAACACTTGAGATATTCATTTAACATAAATTCAGTCTTTCAACCGAAATAAAGCTACAACAAGGCTAAAAGTTGATAACATTGTTAACATGCAATTCACTTGATATCACTAATATTTTTATATCATGTCATAAAAATTCTTGTGTATATATATACACATTTATGTTTAAAAATTTAATTAAATATAAATTTATTGATATTTCGATATAATTAAATCAAAATTTTCATTTTTCATTTTTAAGTTGCATTATTCAATTACTGAAAGTTTGAACTATCTAGTTTCAAGATAGTTTATGATTTGATTGTAAAATATTCAAGTCTATTCATTTCATAGTTTTAATCATAAGCTTTGTTGGAAGCTATATTTGACTATTTCTAACACTATCCAACATTGAAGAAAATTTTTAGTGTTACAAATTTTGTTTGAATAACGTTTATGGATAGCTTTATTTTATTAAAATTTTTTTAAATATAAATTAAAATAATTCAAATTAAAATAGATATAAATATGACTTATCAACATTAGATCAAACATGTTGACTTTAGGTGGCCCTTAAATGTAGAGA